AGCCTGTGACACCTGAGGTCACGTTGCCTCCCATCTCTTCTCCTAGAAAGTTTTATGCAGCCAAATGTTGAGGCGGGGGGAGGGGGGGGTGAAGATCCCAACGGTGACCAAGGGTCATATGGTTCTAAGATGAGTAAAAATGAGACATTCCAAATACAAAAATAATCAGAACAAAAGTGCTTTTGTGGCGTAAGTCACAGAGCCCTGATAGACACCCAAGTAACCCAAGCTCTTGCCTGGCATTAAAGCCCACATGCAACTTCGGTTTGTGGCTCTGTGCTCAAGGCATGCAGTTCCGTGCCCAGAAGTCTTGGGTGCGGGGTTCTTTGCTTGGTTGTCTCTGAGTGACCGTGAGTGAATCACCTCAACATCCCAGATACAGGAAATAGAGATAAACCCAGGAGCTACCAACTTCCACCTTGAAGGGACCCCAGAGAAGGTGATGTGGATTAGACACAGGGCCTATGAAATTATTATCTCACCGGTGACTATTATATAATGAGATTATTCCTCAAACATCTTTCACCATTTAGGTTATCAGCACTTCCTTCTCTTAAGAAAATCACCTGAAAATTAAGGTGAAGGGTTTAGACTGCAGATTCACTCTATTTTCCTATTTTGGACCTAATTTTAACATGAAAAAAAGTGTTCCTTAAAATTTATTTTCAAAAGTTAACTTCTGTTCACCTGCAATTCAGATGACAACATGGCCACTATGTACCTTTTTGATTGGACTTGGCGAGACAACGTTGATTATGAGCTAAGAGCATATACTGCTTGGGTTCAAACCTTGTCTCCAACTCATTGACCTTGAACAAGTTATTTCAGGTCCTTGTGGCTCAGTTTCTTCGGTAAGTGGGAAAAATAGTATTTTTGAAAAATAAAAATCCAGTCATGTCACATTACAAAAATAAAACCCCTTACTTGCTAACTCCTCTCAATCAAAACTACACAATGCTTTAGGGATTCACTATAAAACAGTGTTCTAAATTTTCTGTTTAACTTGTATAGCGCAAAAATAGTCATCCTCATTGAAATAGTAACTATACTTTATAAATGGCAAGGTTTCAAATCTAAGTTTGTTAGGAATAAAAGTTAATTAACTAATGATGGAAAACCTAACATTTTTTTTAAACAAATGGAAATTTGCACTACCAAGGGTTTTGGGTTTGTTTTGTTCCCTGCGGAACATAGCAAGCCGAATCTAAAATTTATGTGAAAATGCAAAGGGCCAAAAATATCCAAACCACTCTTAAAGAATAGGATGGCATGGGGTGCCTGGGTAGCTCAGTTGGTTAAGTGTCCAGCTCTTGATGTTGGCTCAGGTCATGACCTTGCTATTTGTGAGATGGAGCCCTTCGTCAGGCTCTTTGCTAAGTATGGAGCCTCCTTGAGATTCTTTCTCTCCTTCTCTATCTTTGCCTCTCCCCTGCTTGTGCTTTCCCTCTCTCAAAATAAATCAACATTAAAAAAAAAAAAATTAGGATGGCAGGCTTTACTCCAGCCTCATCATAAAGCTACCATAAACACCATGGAGTAATAGTAACACAAATAGATGAACAGAACCAGAGAGGGGAGTCAGTAACACGCAGATGAGCAGAGGCTTGAATTATAGCAGATGTACAGTGTGGAGTGCCAGGACAAGCAGCTACCCAAAAGGATCCTTCCTCACAGAGCCACAAATAATTTCCGGGTAGAATCCATGACACAATGGAAAGGGAAAATTATAAAGCATTTTTTAACTCAAACAATTTTAAAAGGATATGTTCATGACTTCAGGATAGGGAAAGATTCCTTAGACACTGAACATAAAAGGATTGAGAAGTTTGCCATTAAAATTAAGGCTTTCTGTTCATCACAAACACCATGAAGAGAATGAAAAGTAATCCAGAGATGGAGAGGATATTTACAACAAATGTAACTGGATAATGATTAGAATCACGAATACATCCCCCAGATCAACGAGGAAGAAGACAACTGGCATGAACAGGATAGAAAGATGAACAAAGTGAATGAGCATTTTCCCAAAAGAAGAAATCCAATGACCAGGAAACACGAAGATGCTAGATGCCATCCCTGATGAGGGAGATGCAAAATAAAACCAAAATGAAGGCCTACCATAAAAACATCACGTTGGCTAAAATCCCCACCTGGCAGATGAAGTGTTGGCGCTCTCACAGACGCTGGACAGGGGATGGTGGGAATACTAAATGTGAAAAATATACATGCCTTATATTCCAGCAACTGAACTAGATAAATACCCAACAGCAACATGTTTATGTGCACAAAGATGCTCATGGCAGCATTGCTTATCATCGCCCAAACCGGAAACTATTACAGAAGTGCCTGCCACGCTCGATCAAAATGGCATTGATGAAATGGGACAAACAGCAATGACATGGATAAACCATACCTACACACGGCATGAATTTTATAAGCAATGTTGAGTCAAAAACACCAAACACATGAACAGTAGGATTCCATTTATATCTGGACAAAGTAGGCAAAGCAAACTAACCATATTATTGCATACGTCAACTGGTGAAAACCATTTTTTTAAAGAGGTAAGTATTACTATAAATTCAGGATAATAGTTAGCTCTAAGGGGACAAATAGGGTGTTAATAGGGGATACATGGGGAGATTCCAGAGTATTGGCAGTGGCTTTCCTCCATCTGGTTTGTGAAGACATGTTTGCTTTACCCATTAAACTACACACCTGTTTTAGGTACTTTTCTGACGGTTATAGTTCGCAGAATTTAAAAGAAAATGGAGAAATTGTATACCAAATATTAATGCTGATTAAACCCATAATTATACAGTGCAGGAAAAACTAGAAGGCCCAGCATTAGGCCCATAGCACAAAAGACACATGGGAATTTAATATTCTATAATGACAACATTGCAAACCATTGGGGAAGTGATGGTTATTAATGCTGAACCAACTGGTCAACTATTTGCAAAAATTAAAATCCAATCTTCATATATCCCCGAATAAACTTGAGATGGATTAAAAACTTCCTTTTGAATTAAATATAAATATAAAAGTGAACTTTTCATAAAGTACTAGAAGAAAATAAGGACAAATACATTCTATCCTTGGCATAGAGAAGATGTTCCCAAGGGTAACTGCAGAGGTAGACTCGTAAAGAAAACTTGTACATAGAAACACCACAAACTGTATTAAAAAGAAATCGACACACTAAAACAATAACATATGACAAAGGATGGACATCTTAATTCATCAAGAATTTATAAACCAATAAAAACAGCATTCTCAAAGAAATTAGTTATGAATAAGCAATGCTCAAAACAATGAATATAAATGGTCAACAAACATGACAAAAACACTCACCCTCCATTAAGTAATCAAAGAAATACAAATTTTAAAAATAATCCTTTCCTGTAATTATTCAATTTGCAAACACTTGAAACAGCAATTTTCAGTTCTGGGAGTTTGATTGCTAGCAGGAATATAAAGGGACACAATCTTTATGGTGAGTGATGTACATCAAGACTCTCAAAACGTACCTACACTTCCAGCTAGCAATTTCACTTCTAGAAAGGTATCTTCCAGAAATAAATCACTTGTGTACGAATGTGATTATCTTTTAAGATGCTGATCACATTGTTGTCCTAGAGGTTACATTATAAGTGACAATCAAGTTCTTAAGCAGTTGATATTAACAGCTATGGTACACCCATAAAATTGAGTATTCTGTAGCTATCTAAAATGCAAAACATCTACTATGAGAAACTGTTTACAATACATAGAACAGACTATGAAACAACATACAGTATGATTGCATTATTGAAAATATAAACATATAGCTATGTATAGAAAGGTATGTAAAAATAAAATATACCCAAACCTTAACAGAGGCTCTCTCTAGGTGATATGAATACAGGGGACTGTGCGTACATGCATGTGAGCCCTTCCATATTACCTGGTTTTCCAGAAATGTATTATTTTATTCTCTAAAGAATAATTTTATGTTGCAAAATCCATTTACTATTAGTTTTTAAAAGTAGAAATAATGAATTTGTTTGCTCGGTATGTTTCCGCATTTGTTATGGGGGAAGGGGTGGAAGAGGGATGGAAGGCAGTAGCAGCACTGGAAGTTCCTGATAGAGAGCTGAGCCCTTCCTATCACACCTCAATGAGTTTTCACGAAAATGTCATATATGAAAGTCTCTTTTAAAGCAAGTTAAATTTAATTGAGCACCAGTAAAACATCACCATTAACATTGTGAATTTCCTCTTATTTTATTCCTTTCAACGCTATTTAAAGGCTCCAACATATTAAGACAAGAAATCTCTGATAACCATGTAATCCTTTAAAATTACACAAACATGTATACATAGGAGATTGAGATTTCTGTAGCCTACATATGCCTCTTTTTGGGGCAGGGAGGGGGGGAGGGGCTCAGTGCGCAGTGTGTTGACAATTCAATTGTAGCTTTAACAAAAAAATTGGTGTTCTTAGCAAACTGAACTGGTCGCTCTTAGGGCAAGCCTAACGACAGCTATTCCCTTCCCCTGCAGTCACCCTAGACTTTTCCTGTGACTCGTGTTACTCCAGGCAAATCTGACCATCTAGAAAGATCCTCCACCCTCCAGCATCAACTAAAAGTACTCCTTATTCCTAATCAGAAGAAAGAGAACATTCTTCCTAAAGGGAAGACAGAAGAAGGAAACAAACATTTAAGAATTTTCTGAATGTCTTCCTAGGTATTTCACATCCAGTATGTCAATAACCCCATGCAAACATGCATAAAATTCTCTAGGCTGCTCCCTTTGTTACTCAAAAAAGGAGGGAACTTTATCTTCCTAACTCATTTTAGGTGATGCCTGGAGCAACCAAATATTTCACTGAAAGACGGGTAATAAATGCTATTCCATAGAGGTAAGAATAAGGAAAAGAGCAGATACCTGCTTTCATTTGGCTTAGAGGAAAATAAAACCGTGCTTACTACGTACTAAAATATCAGACCAACACACAACATTCTGCAGAACTTTAATACAATATGGTTAAACACAATATTCAAATATTAAACTTCTTAAGCACATGAAAGTCCTCTCCTGAAAGACAAACTGGGCTATTTTTATAACTACCTTTGTATAACTTTATAAAATTCCTTCCCTCAACACTGTCTGGCACTGATCTTGACACTCGTTAGGAAGTCTGATGTGATCATGGCATCTCGGCAGGCAGAGGCTCAGGCATTATCCCAACGGCCGTCTTCAGAACTCCTCACCAGAGGATGGATCATCATCTTCATCCCTTACTTCTCGGTACTTCCTCAACATCTCCCCTTCAGGATTATAGCTCTGCATCTTGATATTCAGTCTTTCAGCTAATTTTTGTGCCGCAAGCTTGGCTTGCATCTCCTTTAAAACAAAAATTGAAGCAAAAAGTTACACATTCACATCTTTTTCCCTGCCATTTTTTTAGTATGAAGTCACCTGAAGAGAAAAGGAAATGAAGGGGCATACCACCCCACTCGGTGCCCTCTCTAGCAGTGTGACAAGTCTGAGGCTATGCCCACCACAGATACAAGGGGGCACTGATGGCGAGAGCTACTGGCCTGCTACAGTTGTGGTCAGATTTCCAGTAACAGACAAGAGTGCACGGAAATACCCCACCTCGACATGGGAAACTGAATAACCCGCTTCGCGCTACAAGAGTTACAAACATGGGGGCACCCAGATGGCTGAGTTGGTTAAACAGCCAACTCTTGATTTCGGCTCAGGTCATGACCTCACGGTTTGTGAGTTCAAGCCCTACATCAGGCTCTGAGCTCACAGCACAGAGCATGCTTCGGATCCTGTCTCCCTCTCTCTGGCCCTCCCCCGCTCACTCGTTTCCTCTCTCTCAAAAATAAATAAATGTTAAAACAAAAAAGATTTACAAACATGGATAGATTTTTAAGTATGTGGACACATGCATGTATACACACAAACTCACAGAAGTCTGATCTATCATATGTCAAAAATCACTAATGCTGTGCTGATCCTCCAAAAAAGAATCTTCTTTTCCAAATGAAGTCACGGCTTTTAGGCTTGAGAGTTAACATTTCAATGTCACAATGAAAATGAAGAAACCAATACTAAAAAAACAACTATCCCTCTCCAACTTCGGTTCGCATTAAAACAGTTAAGCAATAGGAAGTCCAAGTACGGTGTGGACACAGGCAGTGTGCTCAGACTGACTGATGGCAGGTGGCAATGCCCATTTTTCATCTGGCTCTCCACTTTTCTCACGTTGCTGCCCCTACGCCTTGGAACTTCTTCAGGTCCTTCTCTGAGGCCACAAAGATTCTGGGTGGGTAGGGCTTAAGTGAGAAGCTACTACTACTCTGCCAAGGAACCCAATTTCAAACAGAGGACTTGAATGCAATCTAAAAATATTTTAGGACAGGCACTGAACATCATATAAACAATTTAAAAAACAATTCCCCACTGCTGCTGTCATAGCTTGGCAATAATATTTTAATACCTGAGGAAGAAGAAAAATAGCTTTTAAAATGGAGTGCCTTGAAAATGCCAAAACCCATGCCAACTGAACTTTTTTGAAAAGCCAAGACTGAGTAACAGCCTGGTTTTGTATTAACTAGCGTATGGCACCTGATTAGAATCCAGCTAACAATACTTGGAAGTTAAGCTGCTGTTTTCCTGGAGGTTCAAATCACTACTATCTAAGTATACTGGACTCTTTGTTTTCTCCCTACAGTCCTCACACTTATTTTCTACCATTGCATCATTCTGTACATAAACTATTCATATACGTGTTTAAAGTTCTCTGCAGAACTCCCAGTTCTTTGAGGAAAGTGCTATACAAAATTAAGTCACTAAAGTAGGTGATTCTTCTGTCTTCACAAGGGCCTGCAGATCATGCTTTCTCTCTCTTAAATGTTTATTTTTGAGAGAGGGACAGAGTGCAAGTGAGGGAGGGGCAGAGACAGGAGGAGATACAGAATCCGAAGCAGGCTCCAGGCTCTGAGCTGTCAGCACAGAACCCCGTGGGGGGTTCAACGCCATGAACGGTGAGGTCATGACCTGAGCTAAAGTTGGACACTTAACTGACTGAGCCACCCAGGCATCCCTGCAGATCATGCTTTTAAGCTTAATGTCTGTTGGTCTGTTGGTCACACCACAGTAGTCCCCCAACGTTATTCTCTTCCCTGTTTGCCAGGAGATGGAAATCTGAAAATATTTCCCTGATTCTCGCTTAGATTCTACCACTGAGAACCTCTTACATGGGGTTTATAATGTAGAGGACAGAGCAAGACTTCCACTAGCCTAACAGCATGGGCTTTAGGAGACAGGGAATTCTGCCTGACTCTCCCCACATTTCCTGGCAAAATCCATTCTACCGCTGCAGGTAGCTGTGGTCATCTCCAGCTGTGCCCTACAGACTTCGAGACTCGGAAATACTCTAAAAACTGGAGGCGTACATCTAAAAGCCAATGGCATTCATTAGCCAGCCATCTCTCAAGCACCTGCTCCCTCTTTCAGGTCCTGTCCTCTCTGAACTTGCTGGAGTCCACTCAGACTTAGCAGCATCCAACAGACACACAAGAAACATTTAAAACTCTTGATACCTCGTAACTCTGCTTCTGCTGTTTCTGAAGTGCCACAGATTCTTCTATGGAGAGCAGCTGTGTGGGCAGATGGTGAAGCGGCAGGAGCCGGGCTGCTGTGATGTCATCAAGATGCTTCTTATCCCTGAGCCGCCTTTCTTCCGAGGAAATGGGAGACCCTGTTCTCTGCCAATGACTAGATAAATCATTTCGTTGTGAAGGTAATCTGAAGGAGGGAAAATTTATGTTCTATCATCAGACTGTTTCCTTTTTATAGCCACATGTTTACAACATTCACACAAAGAAGCGGCCTTTAATCTAGCAATTCATTCTTCTACAAAGGTTAATAGTGAGTTTACTAACATTTCTATTTGTAGATACAAATCCTTCCTATTTTTAAACATATTTACTTCAAAAACAGGCGTATTTAAATGGGCCCCTCTTTGGAGAATAATAGGACAATCCACCGTTTTAGCAAATAATAGGTAGACTGATAGGCTCTTTGTATTTTCCTTCTCTCTTCAAACCTTACACACGTTTCTTTTTTTTAAGTATATTTATTTTGAGACAGATAGAGACAGCATGAGCCGGGGAGGGGAAGAGAGAGAGGGAGAGAGTAAATCCCAAGCAGGCTCCACCTGCCAGCACAGAGCCCAATGGTGGGGCTCAAACACACAAAGCTGTGAGATCATGACCTGAGCCAAAACCAAGAGTCAGACACTTAACGAACTGAGACACCCAGGAACCCCTGAACCATCTAATGGGAGAAAGGAAAGTTTTCAGAAAAGCTTTAAAACAGTGAATTTTGAGGAGTCATGAAATAATTAACGCTCACTATGTAAATGAAGGGAGAAAGACATCCCAGCAGGGAATAAGAGCCAATACGATGGGCCACAAGGGAAGTTCAGGGGCTAAGCATATAGAAACAGCAGTAAGATAAGGCTGGGAAGTAGCCTGGGCCCAGTCTTCAGCAAAGAGTTCTGTTCCACACACCGGGTTCACACTGCATTTTATTAATTTCATTCTGGCAGCAGTGGAGAGGATGGACTGAAGATATAAGAGTAGAATCCAGAACAGGCCAGTTATGGCCCAAGAAAGGGATGAGAGGCTTCCCTTTTGATAGGAAAGGATGCAAATAAGAATGATTAGAGATGAAGGTCAAAAAAATAGGTTAGGGAGGCCTTTCTGGCTAATAGATACGGAGATGAAGAAAAAGGAACACCCCTTGGGGGGAAAAAAACCAAAACGATGGCACCATGAACTTAGGGAATATGGGAGAAAGTCAGTGCGGGAAGAAGTAAGTGTTCTATCCTGCACATGATAAAGCTGAAGTGCCATGGAACAGCCACGTGGTCGGGTTTCATAGGTAAAGGGCCATGTGGATCTCAAGTTCCGGGAAGAGCTAAGGGAGAGGGAGAGGAGGGGCAGCCGCCAGCAGCCAGGTGGCATCACAGAGCCAGAAGAGCATGTAGCAGGCCAGAGGAAGAGCAGAAAAGGAGCCAAAGGCTGTTCATACGTGGAATCCCTCAATCCACACCGGTCCAGGCCCAGCCTTTCCTGATCTGCTTTAACTGTACAGAAGGCCCCCGTGGATCTCCCCACTCCCAAATCCAGCTAAATGACCATAACCCAGAACCAGGATCAGTGTATTCTCTGACCAACTAGATGATGCTTCTGGTTTTGTGTCTTCCTAGAAGAGAGGAAACCTGCCTCACTGCACACAAGAGGAGAGATTACTTACAAAGGGTACAAAGATTACTTTTTATTCTTAACCAAATTTTAATGTAATATAATCCTGGTTTTCTATATAGAAGAAAAAAACTGTTTTCAAGTTAAAAAAAAAAAAAAAGGCAATAAGGTTAAACTTTAAATTTAGTCTTTTTTTTAATGTTTTTTTATTTCTTTCTGAGAGAGAGAGAGACAGCGACAGCGTGAGCAGGGGAGGGTCAGAAAGAAAGGGAGATACAGAGTCTGAAACGGGCTCCAGGCTCTGAGCTAGCTGTCAGCAGAGCCTGACGTGGGGGCTCGAACCCATGAAACGTGAGATCATGACCTGAGCTGAAGTCAGACGCTTAACCAACTGAGCCACCCAGGTGCCCCTATAGTTATTCTTTAATAAAAGTTTTAAATACTTGTAACTAGAGGCTTTCAGTCTTTTCAAGAAAAGCAGTAGTGATTTCACTTTGTACCTGATGTTACATCCTGGTAAATACAGGCAAGTATACTACCAGCAGCCACTCCCTGATCTGAATGTCATATCTGAGTACACGTACATAACATTCTTTTCTCTTCAAAGAGCTTTACTTTTTCTGGAGATCTCAGAAACAAAACTGTGACAAGGAACTTAGAAGCAAGATTAGTTTGCCAGTCCCGCATGAATCTGTTTTTCAGTTTCTTTAACCCCTCTCAGCTCCCTTCCCCCTGAAGTTATTATATAGTTCAGTGTTCTTCAAAATGCCTTGGGTTTTCATCTAGATCCCAAACTCTTTGAGGAGCAGGATCTTTACTTCTGGGTCACTTTAGCACCAGCTGCTTACATACCGTGAGCACACGAATATTTTTCACTGAGATGTCCAGAAGCTTCTAAAGCTACTTTTCCCTACACTCACAGTTTAATCAAAGGGGGAGGCTGCATACCAAAAAACTGTTATGGAAAACAGAGTCAAAATAAATTCTCTAACTCTGGGTTTAGTATGAAATATTGGCTAACCACCCTGAAATTTAATACTCCACCTGCTATTTGAAACCTTTTCAATTCTGGCTAAAAACCTAAAGGATTTTCCAACCTGAATCCTCTACCCTAGCCAAGCTGTTTCCACAATATGCTCTTACCTAACTACAAGCAGGTCCCACACAAAGTCCAGCAAACTAAGAGCATTCTCCCAAATTTTTTAGTTTAACAAATAGTATGTTCCTGTGACAGGCCTGGTTCTGATGGTACTTACACATTAGTTTTAAATTTATGTGGTGGGGACACTGGGTTCTTGGCTCGGACTTCTAGCACTTCCATGTAATGAGGCTTCTTCTGGGCCCCATGACAAAGCCCTGCCAAGTTCTCGGCACTTCTGTTCTCTTCTGAACGCTGTTCACCTGGGTCCGCCAGTGTGAGCCTTTGTAACCTATCAATAAACAGGCTGTTGGAGCTACGTGAATGATCTTCTGCTTGACCTGAAACACGATGCTGAGGGAGACGCTCACCAGCTTCAGAAGAAGAAGGCGCACTGGCTCTGCTGCTGGGAGCCAGGCACTTGCTCAAAGTGTCCCCAACCTCCGGAGCCCCTTCATCGCCTTTGGGAGTAGGATGTTGTGAGGTTGTTTCAGACGACTTGACGTTACTTACAGAGGAACAGCCACAAACTGGAGTATCAAGGATCTGGTCAGAATTCTGGGCCTTATCTGTGTCTACATCAACAACTGCAATTGCTCTTTGCCTTAGCTTACGGTCTAAACTAACAGGATGAAACAGTTCAGTTCTTCCTCTAACTTCTTCATGTTCTGCAATGGCAGCTTTCAGTTTGGCAACGGAGTCTAAGATCTTTTTACCTTTGTCGGGCAATTTGCAAATGAATTTTCTGTTAAATGGGAAAACAGATATGTATATGTTACAGCCATGTTTCCAAACTTGAGACATAAAGACAAAGCATTAACTTCAAAGGGTGAAAAATCTATCTTGAAGTAAAAAATCTGATTTCCAACTGCCTCAAAAGAGGAATGAAATAAGAGTCATCATCTAAATACGCTAAAAAATAAGAGGATGGAGGAAGAATAAGGAATATGCCTCATCTGTCTAAATTTCAGCAAAAGTATTTTAAGCATATAATACTACTCCATAAGACACGCCCAAAACAGCAGTTTTTAATGTGTGATCTCCAAGACCTTCCTGGGGAGAGAAGGTGGATGGGTTTGCAAAGTCAAAATGATATTCACAATACTAAATCATTATTTGCCATATCCATGCTCGTTTTCTCACATGGAGACAGTTGACTTTTCCAGAGTCCACATGATATGTGATACCATTTCCCTGATGGCTACTCACTGTGTATTCTGGTGTTTTAAAAATCTCTCACCTGTAATTCCTAATACACCAATAAACATCAGTATATATAAGATACATAAAACAAGAGCTCCTTGGGAGGCTCAGTGAGTCTTAACAGTTATAAAGGGGTCCTTGGGACCAAAGAATTTAATTAGCTGCTATAGATTAAAAACCTATTCTCAAAAAGTCAAAGCACTGGTCTCTACTAGAAAGCTCCCAAATGGTCATCTGTCCCTTTTGCTAAGTGACAGAAGTTCCGTTTCAGATTCTCTTTTCTTTATCCATATAATGGAGGGAAGATTATACCTCGGGCTCTCTCTTCTTTGTCTCACATTACATTCCTTCCCACAACTTCAACATTAATAATATGCCTCTCCAGTTGAGATTCCTATGTGTTCTCAGCCTTCTCTCTCCCGATCCTCATGACTTCTCCAGCTTTTCAGTAGATAACACTAACTCTCCCCTCAGTACCTTCTAAATAAAATCAACCACAGAGCTATTCCCGTCCCGTTTTTGTGTTCTTATCAGTGGTTCTCTATACACGCTGGTAACTTCAGCACTCTCTGTCAACTTCATATCCAAATTATTCCATGCCTGATGTAGTTTTCCCACTCCCATAACTACTTTCAAATACAGCCCCCTTGCTGGGAACTTCCCTGGAAATAACCAGCTGCCTTCTCTTACTCCTTCAAACCATCCTGCGCCAAGCTGCTAAATTAAGCTTCCCTAAAAAATCACTTTCATTATATCGTTTCCCTGCTACCGTCAAGTCGGCCAGATGAATGAGACAAACTTTTTCTGCCTAATATAGCACTCTATATCCTATCACTTTTAGCCTTTCCTATGGTTCCTGTAAAAAACAGGATCGAGAGATGAAACTGACAGATGTTTTGGGCACGATTTGGGCGGCAGGGGAGGCGGGAGTATCAAAGGATTTAGGATACAGACCGCCGGGCCCCCCCCTCCCCCCCGCCCTTCAGGGAAGCAGTCAAGTAATTAAAATCAACGTGGAGCTAAGAAACACCTGAAAACGCTAAGCAGCCTTTCGGCATAAAAGTAATCTCCACAGGCGTAACGTGCCAGACGCGGACGCCCAGGGCTTTACGGCTGGAGGCCGTTCGCTCGCCCGCGGGACCGGAAAGGGTCCGACTGAGCCAAGGTCACCTTCCAGGGCAGGGAACCCGATGGGGGGAAGGCAAGGGAACGCATCCCAAGGAGACCAAACCGAAGGAGCCTGGCAGTGACTCGGCGGGACCCCAGCTTACTCGTTGCGCAAAAGTCTCTCCTGGCGCTTCAACATTTCCCGCAGCTCCGCCAAACTCCGCCGCCCCAAGTCCTCGGGAGCTTGGGGCTCGAAGCCGCGGGCCAGCGAGGACATTCTGCGGGGGCTGAGGCTGGCGAGGCGGCGGGCACTCGGATTCCTCAGCAGCCCCCGCGGCTAGCGCCGGATCCGCGGCCGGCGGGGACTCCGGGGCACGAGCGGGAGTCGCCATTTTCCCGGAAGAGCAGGTCTTCTTCGAGCCGAATCGAGCTTTATTGAAACCCCGGAAACAAACACAGGCAAGGAGAAGGGGGCGCTCGGAGGAGCGGGGAGGGGCGGAAGTTACGGGGCTGGCGTCACCCCTACACAGGGCGCGCGTTGGCGAGTTTTGCGTTTTCTCGATTCATCAGCTCTTCAAGTTTATTCATAAAGTGTTGGCTAATGCCAGTTGTGACCCCCACAAAGATCTACGACCCCTGCCGGTATGAAGTCTACCGAGGGGTGGAGGGAGGCGGGTATTAGGTATTAATAAAATAATATAATAGTAAGATGAGTATGTGCGTCAGGGTAGGTGTCTCTAAGAGGTGAAATGTAATTTGGAACCTGAGTGATGAGTTGATTAGCCATTGGTGAAGTTGGGGGAATGTGCCAGACAGGTTGTGGTCTATGGTGCTCTGCGTCCTAGCCCAAGTCTTAGCGAAGTCCTCAAAGTTGGGGGGATTCTTAAGGACCCTCAGTGGTCCTGTGGCATTTGGAGAAGAACTTTTCTTCTTTTGTTGCACTGCCTCAGGTATTGGAAAATTTTTGATTGGGCCCACTAGTTCTGTGGCATCCTCAACTCAGAACAAATACGAAACTCCTTTACCTTCCCCTCTGCCTCCCCCCCCCCCGCCCCCCGCCCTGGCTTTGCCGGTAAGTCACACGTATTTCCAAAGGCCTGCAAGAGTTGACGGTGGGAGGTGCTGTACAAGCCAGCTGAGAACCTCTCTGTCACAATTCTCTATTTTGCCTGTAGAAAAACAGGCACAAAAACAAATTCCCAGGGCACAAAACTAGTAAAGTGATGGCACCAGATTTCACTCAAACGCCCAGCTCCTCTTTCTGCCACCCCAATTTGAAAATCTCCTTCACTTTATGCCTTTTTCTAAATGTTGAAAACTGTTGAAAGGTTTTGTTCAGGCCGTTAGGAGTACAGCAGTGTAATACGCATCCCAAACAGCTCTTTTCCTTTGTCGTTCAGTTACCGGATGAGTGTCCCGTAGGAAAGACTAGGAAGCCTACAAGAGTCACAACAGGTATCAATCGGGAGGTTTGGACACCCCCGCCCCCCCCACCCCCCGCCATAACCTCCAACACCACCTCCCCCATTCTTTGATCAGGAAAATTTTAAATTTTCTCCTTCTTGTGTGAAGTGTTAACAGTAAATAGAGCAATTCTCTCCCAGTCAGAAGATCTAGATAAAATCTGAAGCTACATCGGCAGTATAGCTGAAGCTATTTCTGTACCTTTCCAGTCTCTTCCTTTCAATCAGATTAATGCACCCAAATTCTCAACGTAAGCCCCACTTTCAAGGACTTCCAACAGCCTGCTCCAGCCCAGCTAAAGAAGAAATACTTGAGTAAGGCCTTTGGGCCAGGTAGTTGTCCCCTGGCAAGCTCCCCCAGACTCCCTCATCCTGTCCGTAGGCCACAGCTGGAGGCCTTTATTCACCTCACAGTAGTGAAGCCCTTCTGGTCCTGGGCAACAGGTGTCCTGAAGGCCAGGATGCCTTTCTGTCAGGACTCAGATTTTGCCCCTTACTTTTTTCCTTTTGTGGAAAGCTGTACCTTCTCCTTGAGCCCGTTATAAATCTACATGCAAGCTTCAGCTTCTCCTTGAGCTTTCTTAGATTATCCCAGCCCCGATTGCTCTTTCTTTTGATCATAACTATACCCCTTAGTTAAAACCTCAGTATAGGAAGCCTATTGGCTTCTCCAATTATGTTATGCACAGTGATTTCTTTTTCCTTTCTAACAAAGTTGCAAGTCGGGGAATTGTGTCAGGGAGTTAGTACTTTCTGTCTCTCCTGAAGCAGGTGTGGATTGATGGAATCTCCCTCTCAATTTTCCTCACTGCCTTTTCCTCATGTTCCTCTTCCTCTTAATGAAATGTCCCTTTATATATACAGATCGTAAGCTTTTTATATAAGTAACAGCCATAATAATCATGAAGATATTTTCAGTGATATGGGATAGAAATTTTTTTTTAAAGAAATGAGATATTTTCAGTGATATGGGATAGAATTTTTTTTTTTTTTTTAAAGATATGAATTTGAGGGGCACCTGGGTAGCTCAGTCAGTTAAGTGTCCGACCTCCGCTCAGGTCATGATGTCATGGTTCTTGAGTTCAAGCCCTGTGTCAGGCTCTCCACTGACAGCTTAGAGCTTGGCGCCTGCTTTGGATTCTGTCTCCCTCACTCTCTGTCCCCTTTCCCTGCTCATGATCATTCTTTCTGTCTCTGTCTCTCTCTCAAAAATAAACATTAAAAAATTTTTTTAAAGAAAATAATTGTATTAAAGGACACTAACATGGAAAATTACTACATAGATGTCCTATTATGTCCTTAGATCTGTGATAGGCACATTCCATTCTTGTCTGTCATTGTCTCACAACTGCCAGGTGATATCACTTGCTACAACTGCATTGTATGTAACCTAGCAAAAGTGAGACCTTCAGTTTGTTTTGTTTTGTTTTTAAGTTTAAATAGCCCTGACATGATACTATTACCTTTTTTTAAAATCTAAGTTAGTTAACATATAGTGTAATAATGATTTCAGGAATAGAATTTAGTGATTCATCACTCACTATAACACCCAGTGCTGATCCCAACAAGTGCCCTCCTTAATGCCCATTGCCTATTAAGCCCCCCTCCCAACACCTTGCCAGCAACCCTCCATTTGTTCTCTGTATTTGAGTCTTTTATGGTTTGTCTCCCTTTCTGTCCTGATATTTTTCATTCTCTTCCCTTGTGTTTCCTGTTGTGTTTCTTAAATTCCACATGTGGGTGCAATCATAAGATATTTGTCTTTCGCTGTTTGACTTATTTGGCTTAGCATATTAAGTACCATGTTGTTGCAAATGGCAAGATTTCATTCTTTTTGATCACCGAATAATATTCCATTGTGTTTGTGTGTGTGTGTGTGTGAGAGAGAGAGAGAGAGAGAGAATGAGACATAAAAGAGAAACCTAAAAGACCTATCAATTATAGTTGCTTTGAATGGACCTTATTTGGATTCTAGTTCAAATAAACATTTTTTTTTCCAAAAATTATGAAACCTTTGAGGAATTTTTAGTACAAATTGGGTGTTTGATGACAGTGGAAATTATTGTTCACTTTCTAGGTGGGTTAGTAGAATTGGTTATGTTTTTAAAATAGATCTTACCTAGTGGAGCTATTTAAAGAGCTACCAATTAAATGATGAGATCTCTGAGATTTGCCACATGATACACTGTTGGTGGCCGTGGCTGGGTAGAAACGGGTACTGTGAGGTGAAACAAGGTTAACCCTGAGCTGGTAACTGTTGAAGGTTGACGGTGGCGGGCACGTGGAGTTTCACTGCACTGTGCTCTACTTGTTATCAGCTTGGTGTATCTCATCATGAAAAGTCACACTCATTTAAGTCCTGTTGTCTCTGCATGAGATAGTGGCCCTTGCACCTGTATACAATTAGACTCGCAAACATCCAGGCTGAGAGGAACCAAGGATGGCTTAGCTAGCCTTTGAGCAGATGGCTTAGCTAGCCTTTGAGCATCGGTCCAAAGATGAGAAGAGCAAGGTCTGGAGAGGCCCAGTGACATGGCTAAGGTGGCGTGGTGAGTTCGGGGCTTTGCTCCTGCACACTGGGCGTGTACTCCCCCACCCTGGCAGCCCTGGCGCCTCCCACCTCCCCCAGTGCAAGGTGGTTTCTTATCAGGTCCCAAGTTCTCTGGCGTTCCCTCTTTGATCTTCAATGACGAGTTATTTAATTATTTTCCATGATTGAGCTTTACCGAATTATTGATCTTTCGTTATGAAATACTCCGAACATGTAAAACAGATCAGAAAGAAGTAGGACACTGGGGCGCCTGGGTGGCTCAGTCGGTGAAGCGTCCGATTTCAGCTCAGGTCCCGATCTCACCGTTTGTGGGTTCGATTCCCGAGTCAGGCTCTGTGCTGACAGCTCAGAGCCTGCAGCCTGCTTTGGATTCTGTGTCTCCTTCCCTCTCTGCCCCTCCCCCACTTATGTTCTGTCTCTCAAAAATCAATGTAAAAAAAATTTTTTTTAAATAGTTTGACACTACTGAAGTTGCCATGCAGATTTTTAAAACGTTTTACTGTTTGCTTCTGATTTCTTTAAAGACTATAAAATGCGATAGGTGTGACTGAACTCCCACCTGACCCCTCATTTCCCTTCCGTCCCACCCCACATGCTGGAGTCATGGCGTGTGAGTTCCCCTTGTGTGTTTAAATTTTGATTTATATACTCAAATTTAGATTTATTTTAAATTTGCCACGAGGAACATCGTGTCCTGTATTTCCTCCTGCAACTTGCTCTTTTCACACAACATTGTGCTTCTGAGATCTATCCAACATGATACATGAAGATTGAGGTCATGTATTTTAATGCCCACATAAAATTTCCTTATACGAAAAGGCATAGATGTTTTTTCTTTATCCATCCCCCCCAATAATGAATGGGTTATTTTCAGTTATTCCTGATACTTCAAATAATGGGGCAAAGCAAATCTCCCAATACGTCTCTGCGTCCTTGGTTCAGAGTTTCCCTAGAGTGTATATCTGGAAGTCGAATTACCAGGTCATAGGGGTGAGTTTGCTCTGCAAAGTGGGGGACTGGGTCATGCTCCCACAAGCGGTGTTTGACAATGGCAGTGATCCCTCATCCTGGTGGAGGCTTTGTACCACGAAACTCCAGCACCTGCTGATCCATTGGGAATGGATGGTTCAGTTTCTTCTCGCTTTTTTAACTTGCATCTGCCTGATAGCTAGTGACATGAGGCATTTTCACATGTTTGCTGGCCATTGATTTTTCCTTTCCCATGAGTTGCCTGTTTCTGTCCCTGTACCCATTTCTGCTCGGAAATGTTGACTTGGGAGAATTTATTACGTGTTCCAGGCACCTCTTCTTTGCCAGTTCTATAATGTGGCATGTATGTTACGGCATCTCTTGTTGTACAGGTGTTTAAAGCTTAATGTAATCAGATCGATCTTTTTTTTTTTTTTTAGTTTATGTATTTCCTTATTGAGA